GCGCACCGTGCGCCTGCCCGACCTCAGGCCCGGCACCACCTACCACGTGGAGGCGCACGGGGTGCGGGCGGGGCGCACCTCCAAGTCCTACGCCTTCGTCACCACCACAGGTAGCGTGGCTGGGGCGCCGGGACCCCCACCCCGCCCAGCGTCCCTGCCTCGGAGCCTACGCCGCGCCGCCCCGCCCCGCCTTTCTTCCCTCAGACCCCCGCCCCAGGCTCCAGGGGACCCGGTCAGCGAGCCCCCCACCCCGGGGGTCCTGGCAAAGCCGGAGAAGCCCGCCTTGGGGCTCGCTGCTCGTCCGGGTCCCAGGACCCGTGGCCAGGAAGCTGTTCCGGGCCAGGGAGGGCGCTGGGTGGCGGCGTGGGTCGGAGCCTGCAGTCTCAGGCTGCGGACTCAGTGGGCGAGGCTGCAATCGGCCCCCAGCTGACTCACCGTGGTGAGCGCCCTGGTGGCTGTGGTCGCTGCCCACGGGCCGGCCTTGCCCTCGGAGGGACACCTGGGGACTGCTGGGGGTGGCCCGGCCGCGGGCGGCTGGTGTGTGGCTGGGGCCGAGCCGCTGCGCCCTGGCCCTGCTGGCCCGCAGGCTGCGGGGCTCTCAGGGAGCGCTGGCCGGGCGGGCCGGGCCTTCTTCCCCCCTAGGGCCGGATGCCGCCCGACCGGATGTCGCCCCTCGCCCTTGCCTGTCTGCCGCCCTGCCCTCTGCGCCCTCCCGCCTAACACCACGGCCCCTCTCTTCCAGGCTTCTCACTGTAGCACTAATGGAAGCGGACCCCACCGGGGCGGGCGGGTCCGGAGGCCTGGTGGGCTTCCTTTGCGTCTGCCCTGCCCCACGCTCAGGTTTTCTGCTCAGGATCGGTAGACGGGTGCTGGGGGGCCTGGGCGGAGCTGCAGCAGGACGAAGGGGGGCTCCAGGCCCTCAGAGGCTGGGGTCGAGCCGGGGGCTGGGGAGTCCCTTCCGCCTCTCTCACTCTCCTCTCTCCTTTTTCTCGCCCTCCTGCCTCTTCTCAGGGGACACCCCAGTGGGGGCCACAGATGAGCCTCCTCCTCCGGGCCCCTCCACGACTCAGGGGGCCGAGGCCCGGCTGGTGCAGCGCCCCCAGGAGCTGGGGGAACTGAGGGTGCTGGGCCGAGACGAGACGGGGCACCTCCACGTGGCCTGGACCGCCCAGCCGGACACCTTTGACCACTTCCGGCTGCACCTGCAGGTGCCGCAGGGGCCCGGGGCACACGAGGAGCTGCTGCCGGGGGATGTCCGCCGCGCTCTGGTGCCCCCACCCCCGGCTGGAGCCCCCTACACGCTGTCGCTTCACGGCATCCTTCCGGGGGGCAGGCCCTCCGTTCCTGTCACCTTCCATGGCACCATGGGTACGTCCTGCAGCTCGGTCCCGAGAAGCGGGGAGCTGGGGCTGTCAGGACTGCAGAGCCGGGGGGCCTCGCATCCCCTCCTGTCCTGTCTGAGGGAGCAGGGGCGGTGGACGCCCACCCTTTCTAGGGCAGGCCGACCACTGAGAGAGAGGGAGGCAGGGAGAGCAGCTCCGGTCGGCTGAGCAGTGTCCGCACTGCTCTGAAGCAACAGTGGGGAGGCTTAGAACCGCCAGGCAGGACGTGGGGGGCCTGAAACTCTCCCTGAATCCTGATGTGCAGAGGAGCCAGGACCGGGTGGAGGCAGGGGCACCGTCCAGGGCCCCCTTGCTGGGGGAGGGCAGGCCACAGGGCTGAGGAGGGCAGGACGATGGAGGCTTCCAGGGAGAGGAAGTCCCGGACGGATGGGGTCGGAGCAGGAGAGGAGCGGGAAAGGGGGCAGGAACGGTTGAGGCCACCGTGATGTGCTTCCCCCCAACCCAGACGAGGAGAAGGAGGCGCCCAGCGAGGCCCCGGGCGCACCCCGCCTGGGGGAGCTGACAGCGACCCCCGGCGTGAGCCCTGACTCCCTGCTGCTGCGCTGGACGGTCCCCGAGGGGGAGTTCGACTCCTTCGTGGTCCAGTACAAGGACAGGGCGGGGCCCCGGGCGATGCCGGTGGAGGGGCCCCAGCGCTCAGCCCTCGTCACCTCCCTGGAGCCGGGCCGCAAGTACAAGTTCGTGCTGTACGGGCTCGTCGGCAAGAAGAGGCACGGCCCCGCGGTGGTTGAAGCCAGGCTGTGTGAGTGGGCGGCGGCGGCCCTGCGGGAGCGGCCTGCCCGGGGCGCTGGGCGGTGTGGGCAGGTGGAGCGGCCCCCGGGAGAGGCTGGGTCACTCGCTGTTGCCCGGCTCTGGCTCTGCGTGGTGCTGAAGGGCCTGGACTCCGCTGCAGGGCCCCAGGAAGGAGTGACACGTTAGATGATCACCTCGCACGCAGCACAGCGGCTGCAGGGAGGCTGGCAAGAAGCGAGGGGAAAGCTGGACGGACAAGACGGCGGCCTGGCTGGGCGGCGGCTCGGGCGGGGTGTGGGAGCTGAGGGCGAGCGAGGAGGCCCAGTGAGGGAGCCCGGCTTCCCGGGTGGGACAGTCCTGTCCCCAGGGCAGGGAGCAGCGAGGGCTGGGCCGTGGACAGCGGGGCGCGAGCACGTAGACGAACACGTTCTGAGCGTTTACCGAGTCAGAAGCGGTGTGCTGAGTGAGTGACCGCGTTACTGTGGGCAGCGGCCCGCTCACAGGGAGGAGAGGCGGGGCCCGGGCAGAGGGCACCGAGCGCAGGGTGGCGGGGCCCAGCCCGAGGTCACACTGCCTGCCGGCGGGGCCCTGCAGAGCTCGGACCCAGGCCCAGGGAGCAGCGTGAAGTGGGGGTGCTGGTGAACGGGAGCCGGGGAGGAGAACGGAGCCCTGGAACTGGGGCGGCACCACTCAGAGCAGGGCCAGAGGCAGAGGAGCCCGTGGGCGGCCCTCCAGGTGGCCGAGAGCCGGGTGAGGAGTCAGGGTGGAGGGCGTGGTCAGCCATGCGGATCCGGGAAGAGCGATCCAGGGGTCCCGGGGCGTCCATGGCCTGAGCAGTGGGGGTTGGGAGGGCGGCGGAGGTGAGGCCACGGCTGCAGTCGGTGGAGACGCTGCCCTCTGGACTCCCGGCTGGGAAGAGAGCAGAGGGCAGGCAGGGGCTGGAGCTTGTCTGTGCCGCCAGGCCAGCCAGCTGGGCAGTGGGGCGCTGTCCTCTCTTGGAGCAGATAGCAGCTGGAGGTCAGGCCTCCGAGCGGGGAGGTCGGGAAGCTTTCCCTGGCGCGGGAATGTGGAAAGGCCTGGCTGGGCGCCCCTCTCCACAGCCCCTCCCCCGCCGCCGTGGATGGAGTCGGGGCCACACTGTCCCGCTTTAGCACCATTTGGGGTTCACTCTGTGGGCAAAGCGCCTCAGCGGGGCGTGCCGCTGGGCAAGCAGAGTGCTGGCCAGACTCGCGTGGCTCTGCCCTCCCTTGGCCGCGCGTCGCCGTGCAGTGAGCGGCCCGCGTGGGGCTGGGTTCTCCTTCTCGCTCATCTCCTGTGTCGCGCTTCCTTTCCCAGCGCACTGGAAGGAACCCGGCCCAGAAACGCCGCCCCGCCTGGGAGATCTGTGGGTAACAGACCCCACTCCAGACTCCTTGCACCTCACCTGGACGGTCCCCGAGGGCCAGTTCGACTCCTTCATGGTCCAGTACAGGGACCGTGATGGCCGGCCCCAGGTGGTCCCTGTGGAAGGGCCCGACCGCTCGGTCACTGTCTCCCCGCTGGACCCTGACCACAAGTACAGATTCTCCCTGTTTGGGGTGGCCAACAAGAAGCGGTACGGCCCCCTCACGGCCGATGGCACTACGGGTGAGTGGCTGCCCCAAAGTCCCCGAAGACCCCCACGCACTCCCGCACACTTGTCCTTAGCCAGGGGCCGGCAGGTCCACCCCGCTCCCAGGCCCAGGGGCTGGCCTCCCCCACGCAGGCTCCTGCATCCCATTCGGCTGCTCCGAGGTGCAGGTGTGTCCCACCCCGGCTGTGCCCGACTTCCCAGAAGCCCAGCAGAGGGTCCCCCTCTCCAGGAAGCCCGTCCCAACCCCAGGCCCCCACGGTAGGCAGTGCCTGGCTGACCCCTCCTGTTCTAGCCCCAGCTAGGAAGGAAGAGCCGCCTCGTCCGGAGCCCCCTGAGCAGCCCCTCCTGGGGGAGCTGACGGTGACCGGCGTGACCCCGGACTCCCTTCGCCTGTCCTGGACGGTGGCCCAGGGCCCCTTCGACTCCTTTGTAGTGCAGTACAAGGACGCCCAGGGGCAGCCCCAGGCGGTGCCCGTTGGGGGCGACGAGAATGAGCTCACCATCCCCGGCCTGGAGCCCAACCGGAAGTATAAGATGAACCTCTACGGGGTTCGTGGCAGGCAGCGTGTGGGTCCGGCCTCTGTAGTGGCCAAGACGGGTGAGTCAGAGCCGCGCGGGCCTCCTTCCTCGCCAGGCTCCGAGCGCCTGGCCGGCCTCCACCTTCTCAGCTGCTATTCTGCCAAAGCCGCCAGCTCTGCCCCTGCCCCACCGCGCTCCTGTCCACCCTGCCAGGGACCCCGCTGCCATCCTCCAGCTCTGCACGTCTTCCTCAGCACGGCCCCCAGCCGGGCAGCAGGCCCCATTCCTCCGCACCCGGGCTCCCCCAGCATGCTCACAGGCACGCGGGTGCACACGCAGACTCGGGGCGGCCCTCCCTGCCGAGTCCTCCCTCCAGCCACCACGTCCTGAGCTCCTCCCTGGCTCAGACCCCGGTCAGCTCAAGCCTCTGTCACCCACACCCTCCCCCTAGCCGCCTCGGTGCTCTGTCCGGAGGTGGCAGACCCCGGGGACAAGGGCACCCCTTTCTCCAGTGTCCTCCCACGTGGAGAGGACCTTCGAGTTCAGCCCCGCACCCGAGCCCCAGCCCCACCCGGCCAGGCGCTGTGTCCACCGCCGAGAAGCCCTGCCAGGAGCTAGTGTGGACAGCTGTTAGGAGTGTGGACTCTGCAGTTCCACCCGCCGCTTACTGCTGGCCGCACAGCCCGCTGCCCAGGGTCCCAGCTCTCCCACCATCGAGTGGGGTGACAGTGGCGGCCACTTCGCAGAGCTGTTAGAGTGACTAAGGCTGTGTGTGTCCAGCCTGGCGCCAGGGCCTGGCCCCCCACAGCTGCTCCCCATTCTCCCGCTCTCGGCCTCCCGCGACCTCTTCAGGCCCCGCACCTCCCTGCGCCTCCACCCCTGTGGGGACGGTGCTGGGAGCCCTGGGTGCCATCGTTCCGAGCGGGCGCTTAGGGTTAGTCTCTCTCCCCCTGTGCTGGAGCCCTGCCGCAGCCTTCATTCCTCAGGGTTCTTGGAGGGCCCGGCTGCCTGGCAGCCTCAGCGGCAGCACATTCCAGGGGCCCAGCCTGGTAGGGTGCAGCCACCCACGCCCTGGGAGGGGCACAGGGTGGAAGGAGGCCTCCTGCCCCTCACTGCCCTGAGGTCACTGCTGCCAGTGACACTGTGGCAGAATCTCCGAGGTGTCCTCTCCTCCTGTGGCAGCTCCCGCCTCACTCACGAGGGCAGACCCCACGGGCCGCTCGGTGGACAGGGCGGGTGCAGGGCTGGCCCGGCCTGTTCACCCTCAGTGACCCAGTGACAGACACCAAAGGCTTCGTGTGCCCGCAGCACTCACACTCAAAGTGCCTATCTGCTCACGTGGCTTATCGTCCCCAGCGGCAGCTTTACAAAGCGAGTCACCCTTAACGTCCACACCCCCTGACTTCAGCCCCACAGGAGACCCCGGACCCCACAGAACCCAGCGCAGAGGCCCTGAAAACCCTTGAAGAGCCGCGCCTGGGGGAGCTGACGGTGACAGGCGCCAGCCCGGACTCCCTCAGCCTCTCCTGGACGGTCCCCGAGGGACACTTTGACCACTTCCTGGTCCAGTACAGGAACGGGGACGGCCAGCCCAAGGCGCTGCGGGTCCCGGGCCATGAGGACGAGGTGGCCGTCTCGGGGCTGGAGCCCGACCACGAGTACAAGATGCACCTGTACGGCTTCCACGGCGGCCGGCGCGAGGGACCCGTGTCTGTCACCGGGGTCACAGGTGAGGGGAGGGCGGGAGACCCCGTGGGACCCAGTGGGAGGCCACCCTCTTGTCCTTTGGTGACGCTGAGCAGGCAGCAGGGAGGCCGCTCGTGGCTGAGGCTGTGGCCCTGTGTCCTCCCTGGGACAGCCTCCGTCCCCGGGCAGGGAGCAGCCTGGAGGCCTTGGCCGTGCTGCTGACCGCCTGGTGTCCCCCGCTGCCCCAGGAGCTCCGGCCAGGTTGTCAGCTGTCAGCCAAGCGGGACGCCCGGCCCAGGCTGGCTCCTGTGAACCGGGCCCAGGTCCCCGGCGGTGGCCCCAGCTTCTTCCTCTTTGTCCCTGAGCCCGAGGACGTCCCCTGGGAGCCCCCTCACCCTGTCTGTCCCCTTCTCAGAGCCAGAGGAGCCCCCCAGCCCCCCAGAAGCCGGCACAGAGGCCCCGGAGCCCCCCGAGGAGCCGCTCCTGGGGGAGCTGACGGTGACAGAGGCGTCCCCAGACTCCCTGGGCCTGTCCTGGACGGTGGCCCGGGGCCACTTCGACGCGTTCAGCATCCAGTACAAGGACGAGGCGGGGCGGCCGCAGGTGCTGCGAGTGGGGGGCGAGGCGCGGGAGGCCACCGTGCGGGAGCTGGCTCCGGGGCGCAAGTACAAGCTGAACCTGTACGGGCTGGGCCCGGCCGGGCGCGTGGGCCCGGTGTCCGCCGTGGCCGTGACTGGTGAGTAGGGCCAGGTGTCTGGTTCTGTTCCCTCCCCACACGGACCCCCACCTTCTCCGTGGCCCGACACTTTCTTCTGTCCTAGGGGAGGCAGGAGGCCTGCCCTGCCTGTGAAGGCCTAGTAGAAGCCTGGCACTGGGACTGGGGTGACAGCCAGCTTTTGTGAGCCTGAGCCAGATTTACACCCTCCATGCTTTTGTTCCTTGGTCTATAGCAGGAAGGTGACTGCTGCCGCACAGAAATATTGTGCCAATTAAATGCGTTAACAGAGTTAAAGCACCGGGCCTGGGACAGGGCAGACACGCTGCCAGGGTTTGCCGCTGGTAGTTATCCTTGCTGTGAGGCCTCTTTGCCCCCTCTGGCTCAGTTCCTCCGTGGGTCAGAACGGACGTCAGACCATGGCTGTCATCAGTGCAGCTCAAAACCTTAATGCTCACCCAGTGAGTGACTTCACGGTAACAAACCCTTCCTGCCCCTCTCAGGCCACTTACAGGGCCACCTCGGCCCCACCAGGGACTCGGCCTGACTACCTTCTCTCAGGTGTGTGTGTGCCTCAGTTCTGAGCTCCTCTTGCTGACAGGAGGAGCTTGGTCACAGTGAAAGACATTTCCTTTGCCCTTCGGCCACTGAAACAAAGACAGTTGTTTCAAAAACATTTGCTACAGGGCCGGGGATTTAGGTCAGCGGCACAGCGCCTGCCTGGCAAGTGCAACGTCGTGAGTTCGATTCCTGGTACTGGAAGAAAAACAAAACAAAATCAAAAACAATAAAAAACATTTGCTACAGGGCCGGGGATATAGCTCAGCAGCACAAGCACCTGCCTGGCAAGTGCAGGGTCCTGAGTTCAATTTCCGGTACCCAAAAAAAAAAAAAAAAACAAAAACCTTGCTACAAAGGAAAAGATTAAAAGCACAAGGGGAAAGAAACAGGTTTCCAGAACATGGTTTCTATACCTCCACAAAGCCCAACTTCACTGTGACTTGGTTGGCTTTGTTTCCAGAACCTTCTACCCCTGATTTTTTTTTCCTTGCCTCAGTCAGCTCTGGGAAGAGCGAGACAGGAAGGCCACCCTGAGTCACCATTTCACAGCTCGAGGTCATAGGGTGGAGGCTCATCTAGGCCTAGAACATGCTGCCAGAGTCTCTCCGGGATGACCCTGGGTCTGTCCCAGACAGCCACAGTGGGCTGTGTCCCTGGTCCCCAGGATAAGGATGGGTTCTGTCAGGTACTCATTCAAGTGGTGCTGAAAATGAAAATTCATAAGGACATTTCACAAACCAAGTAGTCCCGAATTCCCCCATTCTTAGTTACAGCTTCTCCCAGAACCCCGACTTCCTCATCTTCAGGATGGGAGCAAACGGGAAAAGTAGCGATAGAACCCGTCTGGCGTTCTCGGCCCTCTTGACCTTTGCTGAGCCCCTCCTGTGGAGGGATCACTGCGTACCCAGACTCTCGGGCCAGATATTTTGAAACATGTGTCGGACGTGTCCGGGTGTAATGGAAATAGCCCTTTAAGAAAGGAAAGAGCTGCATGTTCACTCCCAGGGCGTCGAGCTGGAACAGCTGGGCCTGGGCCACGCCTGGCACATCGCATGTGCTGTGTCGTTGCCAGAAGGGATGTGTGCTGACGGTGAGCCGCGCTTCCAAACTGGAACAGGACGCTCCCTGCATGGTGTGGGGACTGTCGTAACCCCGAACAGTTACAGTCTCACCTTTTCCAGTGAGGCCAAGCCCAGCACTCAGGCTCGGTGAAGAGGGAGTTTCTGTCCCTTGGAAGGAAATACAGAGAGCGCAAAGCAGGCAGGAAATGGATGCTGTAGGAACAGGAAGTTAGAGGGCAAAGGGAAGGAAGCTCCAGCCCTAGGACCCACTCAGTACGTCACGGCCACTTGAGTGACCCTTGAACCCCTTCAGCTAACCCTGTCCCTTCCCACCCAGATGCATTTCTGTCAGCAGAGGCCTGGTCATCGGCCAGTTTTAAGCAGGGGTCACCTGTCTGGAATCTGTCCTTACCCTCCCATGGAAGTCAGAGCAACTCTTGGGAGCCCCACCCCTCCAGCTACCCCCTCTGCCGTTTTTATCTCTTGTAACTTCCTGTTCCACCGCTAATGAACGAAGCGCCTCCCGCCCAGACTCTGCTGTCCCTGAGGCAGCGGGGACCTGGCCCCTCATGTACTTAACGAGCACTTGCTGGGGACCCACCGTGTGCAGGGCGCGGGGACATGCAGTGGATCAGGCAGTGCCCTTGCTGGGAGCTCATGTGCCCGTGGAGGGAGGCAGGGACAGGGTCACACAGGTAATGTCCGTGCTGCCGGGTGTGGTGGGGACGAGGGCTGTGGAGAAGAGCAAAGCCAGCAGGTGGGCTGGCGAGGGCCCCGTCAGAGGGCAGCGTCTGAGGGAGGCCTGGGGGGACACTGGGTCTCTGGGCAGGGCCCGTCCCAGGCTCAGGAAGGAGCACGTGTAGGGGTCAGCAGGACGGAGAGGCTCGGGGGGCGAGCGTGGTTTGGAGAGGAGGAGGAGGAGGGCAGGATTGACCTGTGGGGCCTCAGAGGCCACTATAAGGACTTGGCTCTTGCTCTGAGCAAACAGGGAGCCCTCACGCGGGCCAGGGTCTGCCTAGTGTGGCCGCAGGCCGCAGGCCCGGCAGACCAAAGAGGTGAGGGCGGAAGGGAGGGAGGGAGGAAGAGAGAGAGGAAGGGGTGACGGGGGACTCTGGATGACCCCGGAAGAGCTCGGAGGCTGTGGAGGCGGGACGAGAGGCCAGGTCTTGCAGGAAGGCCGTAGGACTTAACTATGTGGGGGTTAAGAGCGGATGCAGGGATGATTCCGAGGGTTTTGACCTAACAGCTAGAAAAACGAGGTGTTTATTTTACTGAGGCTGTGGGGTGCAGGGTCAGGCAAAGCCCAGGAGCTCAGTCTTGGACTGGGTGAGTTGTAGACGCCAACTGGGGGCCCAGGAAGATGTTGATCGACGTGGAGCCTGGTATCGGCGGGGAGGTCCGGTGGGCATGAGCTGGGAGCCCCGAGACAGACGGAATTCCGGGCTCTTTCCCAGGCTCTTGGTGACAGGGACGCCCTCCCCGCAAGGACACCCGACACCCACAGGCACTTGGGGGAAGGGACGCTGGACAGACAGACGTTGCTGATCATGCAGCTTTCTGTCAGACCCACCGGTGGGCACAGTACACGGGCACAGTTGCTACCAAGGGAAAGGCCCTTCTCTGACAGCCCCCGCCATCTCTGCCCCAGCCCCACGACCAGAAGTGACCGCTCCAGCCGCCGAGCGCCCCCCGGAGCCGCGCCTGGGGGAGCTGACAGTGACAGAAGTGACCCCCGACTCCGTGAGCCTCGCCTGGACGGTCCCGGAGGGCCAGTTCGACTCCTTCGTGGTCCAGTACAAAGACCGGGAGGGGCAGCCCCGCGAGGTCCCTGTGGCCTCAGACCAGCTGGAGGCCACCGTGCCTAACTTGGAGCCTGCAGAAACGTACACGATTGACTTATACGGGCTGCACGGCCACCAGCGCGTGGGCCCCCTGTCCGTGGTGGCCGAGACAGGTGAGTGAGGGAAGCCCCCCCAGTGCCCCGGAGCTCCCCCCGGCGCTCTGGGAGGTGAGGCAGGAGGGTTGTAAACTCGAGCCGTCTCCCTGCGCTGGCTCCCCGGCATGGCCCTTCCCAGCTCACAGACGTGTCAGTCTGCTCCCCAGCTCCCGGCTCTTCTTGGGGCTGGAACTTTCTCGCCCTCGGGGTCTTCCCCATCCCGCCCTCCCCTGGCCAGGCTGGAGTTCGCCTCCATTCGGCCCAAGTCCAGCCTGGAGTTCGCCTCCATTCGGCCCAAGTCCAGCCTGTCTCATCTCCATTTCTGTCTTTGTCTCTCTCTGTCTCTGTGTCTCTGTGTCTTTGCACCCCCGCCACCTGGCCCCCATCGTCCACAGCTGTTCCCTGCCCCCCTGTTTACAGCCCCCCACTTCCAACCCCTGAGCCTCCTCGAGGTCTCACCTGCCTGGCCAAATTCCCTTCAGCCCATGCCAGCGTCTGCCCTCCAGGGGGCGCCCTTCTCCCCCTTCAGCCCATGCCAGCGTCTGCCCTCCAGGGGGCGCCCTTCTCCCTCGCTCCTGGCTCCTTCCTGCCCCTCACTGTTTCCTGGGCCTAAGTTTTCCATGATTTTTGTGCCAAAGCATCTGATGAAACCCCATTCCCTTTCAGAGCAGTGATTTAAGGTCTAGAAAATAAAATGTGTCTCATTTCAGAGGACCCTGGGTTATACTGGCACCTAGCCCTCCATATCCATGGCCCTCCACAGTCACAACCAGCTGTGGTTAAAAACACTTTTTAAGAAAATTGGGTCTGTGCTGAACAGGTACAGACTTTCTTATCACTGTCATGGCGATTACCCCTGCAGCATCGCATAGCACTGGGTACTAGAGGGTCGGTTTAGGGTGTGGGAAGGCTGCATGGGTCACGCGCAGATGCTGCACCATTTAACAGAAGGGGCTGGAGTATCCTTGGATTTTAGTTTATTTATTTATTTATTTTTGTCTTTTTGGGGACAGGGTCTCGCTATGCAGTTCAGGCTGGCCTTGAGCTCACTTTGTAGCCCAGGCTGGTCTTGAACTCGCAACGATCCTCCTGCCTCAGCCTCCCGAGTGCCGGGATTACAGGCTTGCGCCGCCACACCTGGCAAATGTGCAATTTTAAAAATACTTCTTAGAAACTTGAATTTGAGACTTGGTAATAGCCTTGGCAGCATATTTAAGAAGCTGCTGCTTTTAGAAGTAGGGACAGGTGTAAATGCTGTTAGGAAGTTTCTGGAGTGGCTCCAAGGTGATGCGGAAGCACCTCCGCTTCCGAGCAGTGGCAGGCCGCTCACTCCGCGGGGGTCGGCTTCTCCCCGCACCTGTCAAGGTCAGCGAAGATAACGATGTGGCTGTTCCCTGTGTCATCTTGGTTCCTGGACCCCTAGGAGCCGGCAGAGCCCAGGGTCCTCCCCTTAGAGACCTCAGCCTTTTCTTTGTGCTCTGGATTCCAGATCCGCTCCCAGCAGCCCCAGCCACTGAGCCCCCACTGGAGCCGCGCCTGGGGGACCTGACGGTGACGGATGTGACCCCTGACTCCGTGGGCCTCGAGTGGACGGTCCCTGAGGGTGAATTCGATGCCTTCGTGGTCCAGTACAAAGACCGGGACGGACAGCCCCAGTTGGTGCCGGTGATGGCAGACCAGCGGGAAGTCACTGTCCCCGGCCTGGAGTCCTCCCGCAAGTACAAGTTCGTGCTGTTCGGCATCCAGGACGGGAAACGGCGCGGCCCAGTATCTGTGGAGGCAAAAACAGGTGAGCTGGGGCCGTCTTCCCGCCTTGTCCCTGTCCGCTCATCCGCTTGGGTGGAAGAGTCACACTGCCAGCAGGTGCAGTAGTACACACTTGTCATCTCAGCTTTCTGGGAGGCTGAGGCAGGAAGATTGTAAATTTGAGCCCAGCCTAGGCAACTTAATAACTTAGGGAGCCCCCCTCCCGAAATAGAAAGTTTTAAAAGCTGGGGATATAGTTCAGTGCAGAGATCCTGGCTGGGGTCAGTGTAGTACCAAAAAAAGAAAGAAAAAGCCACACTGCCTGCCCTATTTCAGAAGAGACCAGGACAAGGGCGTTTCTCGGCTGGCCTCCTGTCCCCTAATCATTTCTGCTGTTGGAGGCCAGGCAGTTGGGGACCGGGGCTGCTGGAGGAGGGGCGCAGGGGTCGGAGAGCCCTGCCCGCCTCCTTGGGGCCTTTGGGCTCTTGCCTTCTCCCCTCTGCCTCTCACCCCTCCGGTGCTACCTCTGCCTCTGGGAGCCTGAGGGGCTGGGAACCGGGGAGCTCGGGCTAGCTGCACCTCTTTTGGCTTAGCCCAGGCCCTCCCCTGCCCCTGGGGGCTCTGGCTTGCCAGAAACCTTTCACAACAACAATGCCGTCAGCGCCTCCACTGTCCAGGAGGGCAGTAGGCCAGCTCCTTCCCAGGCCCGGGGTGGCTCCTTTGGCAGACACCACGGCCCTTCCCGGCTCGGCTCCCCCATCACCGCCCGGCAGCGCCCACTTCTCCGCCTCACTTCTCCCCATCCAGCTGGGGCAGAAGTGGAGGGCACCCCGCCCCCTCCTAGCACCCTGCTCCCAATCTCCGACCCCAGCAAGCCAGCGCCCTCGGGGGTCCCCTGGGCCCATGGGCCACACGGTGCGGGCTCCAGGCAAAGGAAATAGACGGCCCAAGTCCCTGACAGGCTGTGCTGTGGCCTCCCAGAGGTGGGGCGAGGAGGGGGCAGGTGGGGGCAGGTGGCCTCTCTCCCCGGTGACTTGGGACAGGAGACCCCTCCTCGGGAGGGGCACAGCGCAGCCCGAGAGGGTGGCAGGGACGGAGCCAGTGGAAACACTGGGACACTGGGGCAGCAATGGCCATTTGACCACTTCTGGGTTTTTCCAACCCTAGCAGGAGGCAATAAAACAAAAATCCTCTTTTTTTTTTTCTTTTTTTTTTCCCAGCAGGCTGGTTTCGAACTTGAAACAATCCTCCTGCCTCAGCCTCCTGAGTGCTGGGATTACAGGCGTGCGCCACCACGCCCGGCTCCAGAAAACCATTTTGTTTTTTTTTTTTGGTTTTTCTCTGGTACCAGGAACCGAACTCACGACCTTGCGCTTGCCAGGCAGGTGCTTTGCCACTGAGCTAAATCCCCAGCCTCTCAAAAAAACATTTTGGAAAAAAATAAACAGGAACCTTTTCTCTCTGTCAGCTGCCCGAGGTGACACCAGCCAGGCGGCTCTGCCCCGCCTCGGGGAGCTGTGGGTGACGGACCCCACCCCGGATGCACTGCGCCTGTCCTGGACGGTCCCCGAGGGCCAGTTCGACTCTTTTGTGGTCCAGTTCAAGAGCAAGGACGGGCCCCAGGTGGTGCCCGTGGAGGGCCACGCACGCTCCGTCACCATCTCCTCGCTGGACGCAGGCCGCAAGTACAGATTCCTCCTCTACGGCCTCCGGGGCCGGAAACGCCTCGGGCCCCTCACTGCCGACGGTGCCACGGGTGAGGGACAGCGCAGCCCGGTCCCCACCCCTCCCTGCCTCCCTCCCACACCCCAGCTACTCGGAAACACTCAGCCCTCTCTCCTGTGTCCCCCTCCCAGAACCCCTGAGTGTTGTGGACGCCCCTGGAGCACAGCGCCCCCCGAAACCCCGCCTCGGGGAGGAGCTGCAGGTGACGAGTGTGACCACAGACTCTGTGGGCCTCTCGTGGACGGTCCCCGAGGGCCAGTTCGACTCCTTCGTGGTCCAGTACAGGGACAGGGACGGGCAGCCCCAGGTGGTGCCCGTGGACGGCAGCCTCAGGGAGGCCCACGTCCCAGGCCTGGACCCTGCGCGGAGGTACAAGCTGCTGCTCTACGGGCTGCACGGCAGCAAGCGCGTGGGTCCCCTCTCCGCCGTCGCCAGGACTGGTGAGTGCGCAGTGACCGGGACACGGGGCCCCTTCCTACCTGGTCCTGCCTTCGCCTTGGTCCTGCTGAGCCATCCCTGGCCTCAGTGTCTTTCGGGGGAGGAACTTCCTTGACTGAGGCATAATTTACTCCCAGTATTGATGAGTTTGGGAAAAACCTATAGGTAAAAAAAAAAAAAGTTGCCATAGGGAGATAAAAAGAAATCTCTACTGCTAGGTGTGGTGCCACATGTCCATAATCCCAGACCTGGGGAGGCTGAGGCAGGAGGATCCCCATGAGTTCAAGGACAGCCTGAGCTACACAGTGAAACTCAGTCTCAAAAACACTTCCATGAAGTTTCCCTGTGCTGTTCCACGTTCAGTCCCCCAGCCCCAGCCCCTGGCGACCAACCGTCTGCTTTCCGTCACTTTGCGTTTCGTGCGCCTCACAGAGCGCAGTCACGGGATGTAGCACCGCTTGTGCTTGGACGCGCGTACACTTCGCATAATGCGTTTAAAACCCAGGCCTTCGCCTCCCCCACTCCGGCACAGACGCTCACCTCTCCCTCCCGTCTCTGCGCAGCCCCCAGGGAAGACACCGAAGCCGGACCAGAGGCCCCGAGCGCTGGGGGGGCCGGGCCCCTCCTGGGGGAGCTGACGCTGGAGGAGGCCTCGCCGCACAGCCTGCGAGTCTCCTGGCTGGTGACCGGGGGCGACCTGGACTCCTTTGAGGTCCGGTACACAGACGGGGATGGACCGCCCCAGGTGGTCAGCACAGAGGGCCACCAGCGCGGAGTCACCCTCAGCGGCCTGCAGCCGGAGCACAGCTACCTGGTGACGCTGTACGGCTTCCACGGGGGGCAGCGTGTGGGTCCAGTCCGCCTCGAGGCCCTGACCAGTGAGTGAGAGGACGCGGCACTCTGCTTCTTGCGGGTGGCTGGGAGGGCCCAGAGCGGGCGGCCGGCGCCCTGGACACAGCCACACCTCAGACCCTTCTCTCTCCATGTCCAGTGTCACAGGAGGAGGAGCACCAGCCCCGGGAACCCCCCGCCACCACCCCCGAGCCCCCCCCAAAGCCGCGCCTGGGGGAGCTGACGGTGACAGGCGCCAGCCCGGACTCCCTCAGCCTCTCCTGGACGGTCCCCGAGGGACACTTTGA